TTACCACCCTTCCGCTGATAGGCTTCCAATCGATTATTCTATCGGCAAGGTTGAGTTTTACCAGATCCCCGACGCCGGCCTGAGCGCTAATCGTGATATCGACGCCTGAGTAGAACAGCTTCCGTCCATTGAGGTTCAGGAGTCCAGATCCTGGACGTTTTTTTGACGATAGTTCAACATTGCCGAGTTGGTACTTCGTGGCCTCATCAACTAATTCATTCTTGTTCTTTTCCTCTGAGTGAGGATATGTTCCAATTTCCGACTTTAAGCTAAAACTGGCGGTGTCGTTCTCGTGGAGCCTTTTCTGACGTGTTGTAATGGCATCGCGCTGTCTGCCTCCTCTGTTCAGAACGGATAGTGACTCCGTTGCTGCCTGTTACCTTCGTAGTCGTTCCGTCGATCTTCGGCAGCCGTTGTTTTGTTACTGCTACTCCGTGGGATGGCAGAGGGCGATGAGCATGTTCTGATCGCTGACTTTTCACAGTCTTGCTCAGCCCCCCAAGAGCCTTCGCGGCCTTTGGTAATTCGGGCGGCAACCGAGCCGGTATAATTTTCGATGACGTCAATACCATGAGTTGCAGATGGCGAAATTTTACCAAGACTTGCCACGGTCACGACCCTCCTCGTTTCTCAACCGAGCTTGGGGCCGGAAACTGCGGAGTTATGAGGAAACTCACATAATATAAAAATGGAACATCGCACTAAGAACAGAATGTCCCAGATATAAAAAAAATCATGGTAGCATAACAGGTACGAAACTGTTGGTGAACGAACTACGACAGTGTGGGTTTGGTCAAGTAGTTCTGCTTGACAGCCTCAGGATCTTGGAGATGTGCTGCTGATGGTGGAATGGTCGTCTTCGTGCATAGCTTTATCCTCCCTGAAATGTTCACACACGTAGAGCGCATAGCGCAAGTTCCGGACAAACATTCAAAGAAACGGACATGTAAAGGATGCGTATTGTTAGGCATGTTTTCATGTCCTAATGCTGTGTGCCACTACAGACTCTGCCAGTTTACTTTCGAAGTCATTAAATTAGAGACCACTGATTTTGCATATCATTTTAAAGACCTGCGAAGCATGATGAAGCCGAATGAAAGTAGTCTAGGGAATACAATGGTAGCACCATAGATATAAAACCTAAAATACAGACGATGACAAATAAAAATCTTTCTACAACATATTTTGGTACATGTTAGTTCCTCTGTCTTTTTTACATATAATGCTGCCAGATAACAGCGACAGACCAGAGCTTTTACAATTTCATGCTAGGAGAAGTCGGTGAATAAGGTGAGTCCTAGATACTAGTTTTGTGTTTTGATTCATTTAACAAACTGAAAGTTTTTTTATTCTTTGCGTTAGGACAAATCAAAAGAAAAAGTGACTTATGCAACGGTAACCTATGCAGAAAAATGCAACTTTTCCGTAACTCGTTTTGTTTGGTCAATTATCTGCCTGCACCATGCCTCTAACATATATTTGTTGGCTTGAATTGTTCATTGGACGTTCAATATCTTGTGACATAATATAGTGTTAAATAAATGCATAAATTCCAAAAATACTAATTTTCCTGTTACTCAGGCAACTGCAAACTTGAATGCATCATTGAGGAAAACTTCTGTAATGATATTATGCGATGTCTGAGTTTTTCATTGATCTATAGCAAATAGGCTGCAGTTACATGTAGTTTAATATGCCCAATCCACGAAACCGGATGTTGAGCATTATAGTTCGACCCTCTTACTTCTGAGTGTTTAGGAATGCAGACTCTTTAATCATACCACTACTGCTCCGTTTTGGTTTAGCATCTATGGTGCATCTCGCACACTCTTATTAACTAAGGTAATTTTTTGATTTAAATTTAATTTAATTTTGATGTTGAGGTTTCTGTAGGTCTTACTTTTATAAATCTGATTGCGGTCGTTGGCCTTTATTTCCTAAAAGATATTTAAGGTTGCTGGGGTATATTTCTTGAACAAAATTCTGCCCCTCCAATAGATGCTTTGTCTCTCGCAGATATCTAGTTGTACTGAGTTATAAGTCGTTTGTTCATTTGTCCATTCGGAATACTTCATTGCTTGTCGTTCGTCGCTTTGCTTGATTTGCAGACAAATTTAGGTACGACGATGAGACGGAGAAAAAGATTCAATCCGCCATCGACAAATTTTTCTCCGGTGTTGAGGTCCTTCCGTCGCCGGCTTCATTAATACGGACAGAGCGAAATGAGCGCTGTAAATCAAATGAATGTGCGCCGAGTTTAGAGGATGATCTCAGTAAATCGTTGAAATGCGACGTCCAGTGTCAAACGATGATCACCTTCCCGAAGGACGTTGATCTGGTTCGGTTGCTGGGTAAGAACTGTTCCCTGCTTAAAATGGAGTGATTGGTTTGTATGGCAGTAAAATTTGGATAATACGAAATTCTGGGCTGAAAAGGAAAGTTTAAATTACATAAGATGTTAATAATTAGAACTGTATGAAAAATAAAACTGCATATTAAACTAAAATATATAAAATACATAATTGCAGAAGTATTACAGAAGTATTTAAGGGGAGTATTTAATCTATTTTCGGTAGATGTATTCTCCAAGTTGAAAATCAGATTTTCTTTCCTTGAGAAAGCGAGATCACTGTCACTTTTTCTGTGCGTAAACTTTATTCAACTTGTATCTTTGAAGCATGCATCAGATGTTTTAAATTCTCCGTGTTCATTTTTTCTTTTCAGTAAAATGGGGGTAGGTTAGTTTCGTGTAGGTTTGCGCTTAAACGTTTTAAACTTTGTCTAAAAATTTTTTTGTGCGTTTTTCGTTTGTGACATCAGCAGTCGTTCGCAGTTATCAGAATTTTGAAGGCGTATTCAATTTTCACATGGTTTGCATGTGCAATACAATTTTCACCTGGTCGTGTGCTGAACAGTGAGCTAGGAATCAATTCGCACTGCACTTGACGCAAGATCAGGCATTTTTAATTATACGAATTATATTTCATGCTATTGCATATTGTTCATCAGATTTTCATAAGGAATTTCCAAATCGCAAGGAGGCTTGGGAGAAATCAATGAATATTCCATAAGATTTGAATCAGTGTTCTCTTTTTTTCCATTTGCTGTCTCATAATGAATATTTTGTTTAAACTCCATCTGCTTGTCCCGTTTTTGGTCTGCGCTTCACTCAAGATTTACTTCAGATGCTTTCTAAACATGTTCACCATAACATGCATAAACATCTTAACAGGAACGGATAGTAGCCTTATTTCACAGTAGCTGTTTTGGTCCGTGCGACAACTTTACTTAAATATTGGGGCCACGCTAACTTTCAGTCAATCATTCGGTATCTCATCTTTCTGTCACACCGTTCAACGTGATTCACTAATGCGAGTATTCCATTTATTTCAGATTTCTTCAGATTAATTCTAGTTGCGTTTCATCAAGTCCTGTAGCTCTGCCATTTTACGTTTCGCTTAAGGCTTTATTAACTTCTTCAAGGGTAAGCGGTCAAGCATTTGCACCCATCCTTTGTCTAGGTATACTGTCAAAGAGTAACGTTTTTTCACAATCAGCGCAGGGTTATGTAGCGATTCAAATATTTTCCTCGTATCACAGTGACTTCGTGGGATCAGGCGTGATATTACCGCCATCCTTTTAACAGTTTTCAGTCGAAATTTCTTTTGTATAAGTGGCAATGAACTTTCTTAATTAAGGTGTCCATATCTTTTTTTTTCTACTTGCATTTTCCATTATTTCAGCATGTTTCTTCCGGAATGGACCTTTTGTTGTTGTCATCTGCATCATCATCTGGGGTGTCAGGGTCAAGGACAAAGTACCCTGATTAACGTCAGAAAATGACTATATTCTCTTAATGGGTTTTAATCTGTTTCTGTACTTTACTTTGGAAACTTTGTGCCTTATCATTCTTTGCAAATTTGCTGTTTTCTTGCAACCGTTTACTCTCCAAATTTATCCACAGCTTCCTTCGACCCATTTGCCGTTGTTACTGTCGCATCTTTGTATATATTTTTAGCTTTTTCCACTGATATATCGCCTGTATATTCAATTAGTGGCCTGAATCAGTTAGTGACCTAATAAGCTTGGGATACTTCTGGACGTTGAGTTTGTCCACTTCAAACTTCGCGCTAGATATTTCGCTGTTAATCAGGACTCAAAGTTTGACTTTTACTGTAGTCATCCTCAGTTCATGATCGCTGGCGCAACCAGCATTTCTGTACACTTTCACAACTTCTAGGTATGCCCTGTGACTTCTGTTAATGAAAAAAATAATCAGTCCAGTTTCTCGTTAATCCATCTAAGGAACGCCGTTGATTTTATGCCTTGATTTGTGATATAAGCATTTGCCATCAACGAGGAGGTCCGGCATCTTTCGCAACTCCAGTAGTCATTTGACTTTTATCATTCATATCGACAATATCGTGTGATTTCAGGTATCTGTAAGCTCAATTTTAACTGTTATTTTCGCATTTAAATCATTCAAATCCATTAGAATGTCGCGGGTTCTGCACTGTCGCAGCAACAAAATCAGTGTGGTGGCATGAAATTCTTCCTTTTCTGTGTCTGTCACAGCTTTGATAGAGGCATAGCAATCAGCTTCCATGAGGCACCAAATGATTTGTACCTGGACTTTGACTTTGCCCTAATGATTCTGATTCTGTCATATATCGTGCTCCCGTGTATGATGCCTTCTACTGCCATTTTCACTGACTGCGAATACAGCGTTACTTCTGTTGTATTTATTGTGCAATGTAAGCTATAATTTCCAGCGGTCATCGCTTGTTACAAGGCAGTGCGTCTCTTGCATTGCAGTTATCTGGATTCAGTTCTTCTACCACCCGTGTAGTTTTCTTTAGATCTGTTTATTGTTCCACATTCCACGCGGAAAGTTGTAT